ACTAAAACCCAGGATTTTCTATTTAATTTGTTTTATGCATTTTAGGTGTCTCTTTTTAATAAAACATATTTCCAATTTTCCGTTGTAAATACACCTTTAACAATTATTTCACAGAGAGCTTTAGAGACAGAGAGCTAATAATTCAACCGACAAAGGTTAAACAGAACTATAGCTGATAAATGGACCTTAGCTAATTTAAGTCTGATTATATTTTATTTTGATTTACAGCTACAATTGTTTTCTGCTAAATGGGTTGCACATTTCTTGCACATAAGCACACATTATATTTTTATGTTAAAGTGTAGTATCGAGGATATAACTTAAGTCCTGTTATCAAATCCCACTCACACATTGACTGGTCTCTGCTACTCTAAATCTTGTTATTATACAGCAGGAACACTATTGCATTCTATGATAAACATGTTTTAAAAATCTTTATTTAGCCTCATTGATAATATCTTATCCTCCAATGGTGATAAATGCACATCTGGAGTCTGTTTACCATGGTGGATCGTCTTTTCCTTGTTCAATTAATTAATTCTTCTACATTTTTCTCACGCTCACCCTGAACTCTGCAATGACTTCAACATAAAAATGTGAAAATCACGAAGCAAAGTCAGATAAATGAGACTACCTGCTCTAAACAGTCTCTCTATGGTTGTTTTGTTTTAGACTGTGTTAGTTCTGACGCTGCTCACATGTGTACAAATGAAGTGCATCACTCTGCAATAAACCAGGTGTTGGAGATAATTGACATTTGTGCACTAAAACATGCGCTTCTAATGCTTTTCTAATTTTACTTAATAGAAAATGATGATAAAAAGCTTTTTTAGCTGCACAATTGTAGAAGTTTCTTGATTAGCATCATTTATAGAAGAAGAAAAAAAAAGAATCAGTGTTTACGCTTTTGATCACAGGTCAGAGCTGATGAGGTAAAAAAACTCTGATTCTGGCCATGCTCACATTGATTGTACCATTATTATTCTGCTGTCGATACAAATGCGACGTAGGAAACTGAAAACCATGCAAGGAACACTGGGAGCACAACCTATGATGGGGTTAGAAAAGAAATTTGATTGGATTTATGGGGCCAAACATTTATAAAGTTGGTACATATCAATTGTTTCTGTGGATTTGCATTAGAGAAATTAGAAATTATAGATCAGAATTTCAAGATGATGAAGGAGAAATGTTATGGGGTTCTTTATCCAGCACTGATTTTAGTGCCAACTTCAACTTAAAGTGATTCTGTGATTCAGAGTAACTACACTATTCTGTGAGCCAATTTCTTATTTAATCATTTAATGCAGGTTCACTCAATGCACAGAGAATGCATGTAATAAATACATTTTTGTGGCTAGCTTAACTCTTTATGATTTACCTTCTGACTGTTTTTATATATTTGCATATTTCAAACACATTTTGATCAAAAAAAAAAAAAAAAACTCATTACTTTCACTACGCTGAAATAATTTTACCAGTGGAAGAACTGAAGAACCACCAGGACTCCCACTTGTCCGGTTGTCTAATTGTGAAAAGCGTTACCGCCAGAGGGGTTACTATGACTTCCATGGTCGTTCTGTCAGAGCTTGATTGGTTCTATTTGGTGCTCACAGCTCACGATTTATGTTCGGCCCGACGCTCTGATGCAATCTACCTGCTCGCATTGTATGACTAAAAAACACATTGGGCTCAGCTCCGCAGTGAGATGGAGCTGCTCTGTAGCTCTATATCCTGAAGCCAAACAAAAAGAAGGGGAATATTAAGCTCACTATAGTGAACCGCGCTGCCTTGGCAATTTGTGCAATTTTGTGCTGAAAGTACAAAAAAGAAAAGGCGACAACGTATTTGGAAAAAAGACATGGCTGAGCAAACCTGGCTACTACGGTCTGTCAATTTTACAGACAGAGCTGCATTTCACTCATTGCATCCCTGCCATGCTGCTGTGTTTACATCTGAGAGGAAGAATAAAAAGAAGAATCCTTCTTTGCGCATGCACCCTGAGCGATTTGCCCATGAAACATGTTTGATTTATTCCCGACCCCACGATACCTGATCGGGAGGTGGTAGTCAGAGGCTGATCGCCGCTCGTAACCCCCTGTACACTACAAGACTCACGACGCACGATCAGCCTGAAAGTCGGCCTGATCCAAAGATTCTCGCACAATTCAAAAATTGCTCTAGAAAGACAACCTCCTTGGTGGAGGTACATGGCAGCTTTGCTAATAGTACCTGAAGGACTCTCAGATCATAATTCAATTCAGTGGTTTCATGATACGATTGATCTTTGTGTGAATGTTTGACAGCATGTTTGGAGGAAGCCAGGAACTGCTGATGACCAGGACTATATCAGTCCTACTTTGAAGGAGGGTGGTGGCTGTATCATGATTTGATCCAAATTTGCTGGTATAACTTTACCAACCTCCAGGGTGCATGAAGGGGGTCAATGAAGACGACTTGAGACCAACTCAGTTCTGCTATAATGACCCTGAAGAAGGCCGAAAGGCGCTGGTCTGTAATAAAGTGTGTTTTGCCCTAAATACTGCTGTAAGCAGGTTATGGCCTGTTTTATAGTCTGTGTGCCATTCATTAAGCATTCACAATTAAACCAATAAATCATCTCAGCCCTACAGTTAATCTTTTAGTTTAAAAAGAAAAACAGCATAGATATTCAGGAAGACTTAAGACTTTCCCTGCTGCCAAAAGTGTATCAACATGAGCTTGTGTTAATTAGAGTTGAATGACAAAGTGGTAAAATATCCAGAAATCAATTTGGCAGCAATATTTGAGGAAATCAGGACATTGTGTTTGGGATTAGCCACGGCTTTCCCTGCTGTTCCGCCTCTTTTCCACCACCATGATTTGTGCACCAATCTCTCAGAGCTTTAGCATCTAAGTGACCCAACCAAAACTCACATGTGGTCAGTGAAAGCTCACAAATAACCAGAGTATGAATGCATGGCCTTCAAATTGTTGGAGCGTATCAGAAATCAATACCAAGCCTTTTTTGGTGATGTGGTGACGGTTGGATTTAATGTGCAGCATCCAGCCTTAACCATAAAGATGCGGCTCATTACCGGATCTTATCCCAACCGGCGCCATTAGATCGGTTTGTGAGCAGACTTTGGAGCCATCATGTGAACTGAAACTAGCTGGCAGTTTTTTTGTGCCTCAGTGCTCCGACTCCAGGTTGACCCCTGAACGTTGCTTCTGCTCGTCGAGGGTTTGAGTGCAGCTGCAGGGAGCGAAGGGGAGCTGTAGCGTCCAGGCTGCGTCTGAAGAGTGTTTGTCTCTGAGTGCCTGTGCAGACGGTCGTGGTGCGGTGCAGCTGGCGAAAGACGAGGGGGTTTATGCAGCTGCTTGCTACATTGATTCAAAACTCTGACCAGAGCTCACCTTTTCCCACCAAAGCTCAACCAGGAAGACATCCTAAAACTTTACCAGTGAAAAAAAAACAGCAAACATCATGAAATAGTACTTTTTAATTCAAGCAAATGTCTCTAACTGGGACTTCTAATCAGGCGAAAGTAACAATCAAATCTAGGGTAATCCCCAGGAAGGAGTTAAGAGATAAAATTTTAACAATACAACAAATTAGATACTCAGTATTTGCTTTGTGCCGATTGTTAGGAATGAAAGACATCAACAAAGTGCTGCAAAGGAACATTGTTGAGTTTTATTCAGGACAAACTGAGGCGTCTATTCTTGGAGGCTGTGCAATTTAGTGTCTAGTAGGTAGGAGAGTGGCCTGGACAAAGAGACTTGTTTGTCCATGGTCTTTTAAGTGTGGTCCTCATCCCTCCAGAAATGTGGTTGAACAATCACAATAGTTAAGAGGCATTCAGCTGCAGGTGCATTACTTCCAGTTAGATATTAGATGATGTCTGAAAGGGGGGGAGAGAATTAGCAGTATGTTGCATTAGCCTTTTGTAGTGCATTTTGCTCAGACCTTCTTCATTTCCCCGTTTTCAATGCTGAGCAGCGAGGGTCTCGGTGCTCCAATAATGCCCATCACACATGTAAATGGTGTGAAAGGGCTGCTTAGCAAAGTGTTCTCATGTCAATCCTTGTGGAAATGGATACAATGCAAACATCACAGCTGAACTAACCGCACGTTGTACTGAGTAAAAAGTCCATGGGTAGGGGCCCTTTGTCTCCGAGGCTCTTTGAAAACGTGGGGGCAAATTCGTTTGATTGGGTTCACTTGGCAGGATTAGAGGAGACGGCTCTATTATGGATGGCCCAAAGGTTTGTTAAGCTGAGATCAATTCATGTGGTTTTCTTTACTCAGTGAGAAGCAGAAATGTGTTTATTGTGGCAACTTCATCACATATTCATGGTTTAACATAAGTAGTAAATGTATGCATTTAAGTGGCAGTGTTATTGGGGGAGGGGGGGCTCTGCTCAGCTAACAGCTTTAATTGCCTAATGGGTTTCTTTGTAGCCGTGCTAAAAATGTTCACTGCAGATTTATTATTGCAGCTTTAATAAGGTAGAGAGAAGAAATTTGTTTTCTAGTTCATTCATTTTATTTTATGTGACTATTATCAGGTGGTCGTGTAACTTAATAATAACTAAATAAAAAGTGGAGATAAAAAGCTTCTTAGACCTACAGCAGAGTGCATTCACTGCTAAAAATGTTTGGTGTGATGCCTCTACTAGCTTTGCACATTACTAATGATAATGCTTATTATTCTTTGCAGACTCTCAGTCAGATTGGGAGAGTTTGTCTGAAAATGAGTTTTAAATTCTCACACAGTTTTTAAATTAAACTTGGGTCTGGGATTTGACTGAGCCAGTGATTCAGTCATTTTACCCTTTACTGCTTTCAAGGTTTAATTAGTAATATTTCATGTTTTACTTAGTGCTAAAAGAATCCTCTCAGTTTGATCCAGGTCAGTATTTCTACTAGAGGAAACGTCACCAGATTTAAGGTGTTCCACTGCCTGAAGGGCAGATCTATCTAAATATAACTTTTTTAAACGAAGCTGTTTGTTTTTGTATCACACATCTCTAAATCAGCCTTTTTTTTTGCCATTTTTTCACATTTTTGCCCATAGTTTATGAAAACAGTGAGCTGCAGTGCAAAATAAACTCATAAGAGTTTCATTTGATTTCTGTGAAATGCTGTAAAGGTTGGAGTCTGAAGAAGGAAGGCAAGTAATGAAATACACAGATACACATTTGGTGAGCGGCCAACAATATTTCATTGGAGCTCTGTCTGCTTGCTGGTCATTTTGTTTTCTATAGCAGAAGTGAGCAACCTCGTCATGATGCTGCCACCACCATGTTTCACTCTGTTGTTGGTGTGTTCACTTTTCGGTCTCAGATAAATATTTGCACACAGACAGTTTAATTTCGATCTCATATGAGATGAAGGCCTTCTTCAGTACATTTTCTGTTTTCCATATATAGTTAATGGCAGACCAAAAGTTTTATTTTTATTTTTTATTCAAAAGTAGATTTTTATGTTGTCACTTTTCCAAAAGGTTCTGATTCATGAGATTGAAGAGTTGTCAATAGTTGAACAGATTGCCCCCCCTACATGAGCTGTAAACCTATGTAGCTCTTGGCTGCTTCTCTGAGTAATTCTCTCCTTGTCGGACCTATCTGTGGTGTCTGTTTGCCACATAGGGGATATCTGAGGGTTGCCCATGATATTAATTTTTGGGCCATCAGAATAAAACAGGATTAATATAAATGCATTTATGCTTTCTGCACATCATGGTTTTTTGGTCCTAAGTTTGAGGCCATAACGTTGAGAAATTTTCGCTCATTTAAAACGATTGCATATGTACGTTAATGTCCGGTTTTTATTATGTTTTCCAGCCAGACGACGTCGAAGGGAAGATCAGGGGATTAATTCCAGCCGGTTTCACCTCCAACACAGATGACTTCCTCTCACTGCTGGAGAAGGAGACCAACTTCAAGCCGTTCGGCACGATGCTTCACTCCTACACAGTGCACAACGAGGAGGCAGGACAGTTAACCTACCAGATCCACAAGGTACCAGTGGCTCTCCTTTCCCAGGAAAGTTTGCATCAATACTTTTCTCCCCGTAAACGTGACAGCCTTACGCTCTGCTGTGTTTGCTCCAGGCTGACATCAGCTGCCCCGGATTCCAAGAGTACCACGAGCGCCTACAGACCTTTCTCATGTGGTTCATCGAGACCGCCAGTTTCCTCGAGGTAGACGACGATCGTTGGGACTTCTTTCTTGTGTGAGTGCCCTCCTTAATTGACACCAATCCCACCCCAGCCTTCCCACCCCCATGCTTTACCCTAAAGCCTATATTGTGTCATTGAAAAACAAAAAGCCTTCCTTTGAGGCGCTTGTGACCAATTACCAGTCTAGTTTGATTATATTTCCCCCTGTTGGAGAATTGTTGATCAGCCAAGAGCTTCTTTTGTGCCCAGAGCCCTTTTCAGATTTTTCAGGGGCAAAGAGCTGAATTGAATACTGTTGTCTTTTGAAACACAGAACAATGTCTTAACAGTAAAAAGAGCCTCTGCCAGTGTTTTCTTTACCCTGGCACCTATTAGAAGTGACAATGGGGAGAAAGGACTGAAGTGATCTGGAGGAGCTCAAACCCTCCTCCAGCCCCTTCTCCTCCTCTAAGTTGCAGTACTCCAATTAAGTGCATAATGTATTCAGGTTGCAGCAGGTGTACCAATCGGGGCCCGGACGTCTCGAACACGCTGATGTGGGGGGGAGAGGCTAAAACGGACACTGCATGGGAGTGTGCCTGTAATTGACCTGTTTGCCTTTGTGTCTCATCTGCAGATTTGAAAAGTACAATAAAGACGGGGAGACTCTCTACGCCACTGTTGGCTACATGACAGTTTATAATTACTACGTATATCCAGACAAAACCCGACCACGTGTAAGGTAATTGCTGGGGCAGCGCGTGCCTTCCCATTCTATTGTATTAAAAAAATGAGTGGAAAATTATACATTTCTTTATCCTCTTCGCAAAGAGCCCAAATTACTGGCTTCTATAGCCAGCCATTCATCCAGATTTTTGTTTCAGCACCAAACCAGAGGGATTTGTATCTGAAAACAACTGTATAGATAAGCCCTTTATGTGATTTGATTTGTTGCATTGACGAATCAGTATAAAAGTCTATTATTTGCTGCTTTCAATCAAGGAAATTTTCTTTTCTTCTCAACAAAAACAGCAACTTACTTCGCTCACAAATATGATGCTTTTCTCATTTGCTTGTATGTCTTCTGCTTTGACTGAACAGCCAAATGCTGATCCTACCTCCTTTTCAAGGGGAAGGTCATGGCGCTCAGCTGCTGGAGGCGGTGCACAGGTTTTACTGCAGCGTGCCCAAGGTGCAGGATATCACAGGTGAGCATCAAATACACAGGACACACATGAGATTTAGAATGTATGACTAGCTGGATGAAAAGGCACAACTTGCTTTGAAAACTTTACATTAATAAATAAAAGCTGAATTTTTATTCCATCAGATTGATAAAATATTTTAATTAATCCCAAAATCGGATGGGAAATATGTTCCTCTCTTCTTTTAATACAGCTTACATACAAGACATGAGATAAATCACAGGAAGAAGGTTCCATGAGGTCAGGATGGGTTTATGAAGAGCATCCACAGTCTGGGACTCACCTCAGTGTTCCTATCTTTTTATTCCTTCCTTAAAGGCTTCAATGGGGAAACATGTAGAATGGTCCAGAGGAGTGAGGTTCTCCTAGAAGAAGCCCTTTAGTCAGGCAGGTGTTGTTTGAAGTGCAGCTTCCTTTTTGATCGACCCTCAGTCATGAAGGATGCCTGCTTTAACATGTTCGCCTGCAGTCAGAGATTCCTGCACAGCCTGGAGGTCTGCTGTTCATCATGGGTCTTCATCCACTTTGCCTTGTACAAAATGTAACGCTGAATGTCATCAGGATCATCCAGGCTATCAGTTAACCTTTGATGGCCTCATGAGGGAAGGTCGTACTTTAGGTCAAGGATCTCCTAACCTCTTAGTTCCTCCAGTTCCATTCAAACCCACGTGGATCTTGTAAAGAATTTTAAATGCTTTGCTGGGTCTTCTCTGACCTCAGCAGTTTTTGTTGTTGTTGTGTTTTTCGTTTTGTTTTTTGCTTTTGTTTCTCATAATTTAAGCTAAATTCAGAAAAAGAAAGACTGATGGGGTCATGGAAGTATAAATGCCTTCGTGGAAATGTTATGATGCCAACTTTATGTTCAGATTTAAGATGAAACTTTTCATAAACCACCTGTTTGAGGTCAGATTCAGCACTCAATACGTTCCTTTTTGCATTTGCACTTAAATTGTACACTAACTACATTTTAAGTGGATTAGCGGCTCTAAGATCATAGAAAGTGATTGATTTAGGGTAATAATAATGGACACTTTGTAGCACAGAGAGAGCATTTTGGAAGGCAAATCAAATACATTTTAAGAAACCCTGTTAAAGAATAGGTTGTTAGAAATGTTACACATATTTTAATTATTTTGGATGCGTAAAGTTTGAAACATAATAGTTATAAAAATAGATACACAGTATCACACTAATCCCCCCCATCCTCCTGAATATATTGAATTGAATCGTCTTTACTGTCATTGTACAAAACAAAAAATAACATTTGCAAGTTTGTTTTCCAATTTTCTCTAAAGGAAAAGATTAATTTCTTTTTGTCTGTTCTCTCTAATCTTAAACAAAAATGCGGATTTAGATTAAGGATGCTGCTAATAATATCTAGTAATGAATATAAAATGTTGTATCCTTGCAGCTGAAGACCCCTCTGAGAACTACGTGAAGCTCAGAGACTTTGTGCTGACGAAGCTCTGCCAGAACCTGCCGTCCTTCGACGCAGAAAAGCTGCACCTTGGCTTCTCCGCAGACATGATCAAAGAGGCCCAAGAAAAGCTGAAAATCAACAAGGTGCCTCACTGAAGCTCTGGTTCTGTTTGACAGACACATCAGGAAATACGGTTTCATCAAGATTGAACAATAATCCAGGAATAGTTCAACAACCAATACTAAAGAGGACTTTTTATGATTTAAAGCGACATTTTTTACTGTTGCTTTTATTGTTTTGTGGTTTTGTTTTAGGAAAAAAAAACTCTTTACACTCTATTTGGTCACATTTAATTTAAAGAATTAGTATAAAAACATAAATATACATCAGTGATTATACTCTAAGGTTAATTAAGTTGTGACTTAAAACCAACTGTTTTTTCCCCCTGCAGAAACATGCAAGGCGAGTGTATGAAATCCTGCGTCTAAGAGCAACAGACATGAGCGATGAGGAAAAAGCCAGAGCATACCGGTTAGAGGTGAAGAAGCGGCTCTTTGGACCCTACAGGGTGAGGTTATAATCACCACAGCTTCAGACGTTGGCTTGCAGAGTGATTTCCATAGGTATTGAAATACATGTGAATGTCAGACTGCCTCTGCTGTCAAACACAGATCCAGTGTGTAGTCCTCCACCTCATTTTTAGCATAACATTACAGCTGTTTGATTGGGAGAAGACAAATGGTACATTCACAGCATATGCTTGATCGGCTCACACTCTTGTATTGTCACGTTTTATTATGTTACCTTTTAAAACAGCAGAAAAATTGATCTTCAGGCCTGTGAAAATTGATAGATTACCAGTGGCGTATTGTTCAAGCCACAATGGGGCGCACCAGGCGTCTGTGGTTTCGCTGCGGCTCGGCTTTTTTCTATTCAGGCATGTCATTAGCCCGGATTTGCATTTCTTTGGGAGAAATCATTTCATGATCGTGCATTTGAAGCACTTTGTCAAGAAGAAGAAGAAGAAAAAAAAAACAACTATTCAGAATTCAGTGCTTTAGAAAACCAGCACACTTTTATCTCATGTTTTTGTTGTTGTTTTTTGTGCTCTGGGTGAGTTCCACAGAAAATACAGAAACTCCTCCGAGTCTATGTTTCAGACTCGACATGGGAAACACCGAGGAGATGTGTGCACCAGAATTACTCCTACATCCTGTTTGCCTGTGACATTTTCTGGAGCTGCTCAGTGAAACTTTGCATACCATCCATCAGAGAATTGGCTGTCAGCGGGGAAACCGCACGTCTCAGGCAAAAAGGCAGAAACTGACACTGAGTAGACCTATGTGGAGAAGTGGGATGGAGGAATTCCTTGGGAGAGTGGCAGCGAGGGATCTGGTATCCATATGCAGAGGGGTTTTTTTTCTTCGTTTTTTCTGCTTCCCTCAGGAGATTTCAGCTTGTAGGCAGTTAAATGACGGAGGCCGCAGCCCTGCGGATGTAAGAGGGATCATACATTTCTCCTCTGAGCTACACTTCCCTGGTGATCATATCTGTTAGCATGTATGGCGTTGATGTTTGCAGTGGGTCTTAATAAGTCGTCAGTAGTTGTCCTGGGTGTTGTCTCCTTTCTATTACCTTGCTATTAGAGTTGTCATCATGATTCCTACACTGCCTGGAAAAGCCGGAAATGTAGGTTTTTCTGGGTTTGGATAATTTAAAAATGAAAAATATTTGTCCTTCGAGAAGCATCCATCCATTTAACTGCTCGCCTATGCATCAATGCAGGGCTTTGTTGAAGTATGTTCTATATTTTCTAAATGAAAAAGGTTTTATTTGGCCAAGAGTACTTTTTTAAAAATCCTAAAAAAGTCTTAAAAACAAAAAATTTCTTGAATTATGTTTGATTCAAATAACTTTCTGGTTAACTACAGGTCATTATTACTGTGTACAAACATGATTAGGGCTGCAACTAATGATTATTTTGCATATCAGTTAATCTGTCGATTTATTTTTTTGATTATTAATCAGATAGCCATATGTTCCATAGGGAAATTTTTGACAAAACATAACCAGGTGAAACTCAAACTTTTCCACTTGAGGAGTTCTGGATAAAGTATATTGACAGACAAATAATTTTTTTTAATCCTAAACGCAAAACGTTTATATATTTTGTTACATTCTTTCTATAATTACTGCTCTACGCGGATTGCTCTGTCAGCTACAGGCATTTTTTTAGGGTACACTCCACTTAACGATTAATCAATTAATAAATTGGTTGAAGATTTTTTCAATAAATCAATTAATCCAATTAATTGATTCAGCCCTAGACGTGATTGCACATAATTGGTTGCCATGGTGATTTTTCTTGTCCGAATGTCCAGATTCTTCATCACGTGTTTGTAGTTTGAAGAAATAAACAAGACTAATTTGTTTTGGTTGTTTTTGCTCCTTCAGAAGAACCAGAGGGAGCTGGCGAAGATGAGGAAGTGCTTACGGCCAGAGGAGCTGTTGTCCCACATGGGTCAGCTGGACACTCAGACACAGCAAGAGGAGCTGGAGAAGAGCTATCAGGTGGCCCTAGAAGATTACAGGAGAATCATCGAAAGACTAGCATCCCAGGCCTGATGTGGTAGAGAACCTGCTGACCGGGAGTCCGGTCTGTACAGAAGCCCTCATTACCATTGGACTGAAGATGCTGTTTGAGTTTCTTACAGATCTGCTGAGGTTATCCGTAGTCCTGACTCCCAGCTGATCTTTATGTACCATAGGAGGTCTTTCATTCAAACGGAGGGAGGGAGGGGCTTCCTGTTTCTTCCATTTCTTTAATCACATTGTGTGATAGAAAATTATTGGTATTATTTTCACATCGAACCACAGTATTTCTGTTGTTTAATTAAACCCAGTTTAATCTCCTTTCTTTTCAAAACTGTTGCTCTCTTCAGTTTCAAATGTTTTCATTGTAAAAATTAAATAGTGTTTTTGTATTGTTGTTCAAATGGGGGCGATTCTTTAAAAAAAAGAAAACAAATAAAACTAACTGAATTTGTCTTTATTTTTCCTTTTTGTTTTTCATTTATAAATCTGTCAGTTTGTTTTTTACAGATACGATTCGTTGTCTGAAACTGATCTGCAGAATGAGCAGAGTAGACCTATACTGAATGGAAGTTGGTTAAGTAAAATTGGCAATGTTAAATGTTGGATTTGACAAATTTCAACTTATTTAACCAATTTATTGGGATTTTATGTGACGGATCAACACAAATGGTTCAGAATTATGAAGTCGAAGTAACAGCTGATACCTTTTATTCCTTACTTTCCAAAAATATAAACCAAATATAAACTGATATTTTTTTTTGCCCAACATACTCCCGTTAAGATCTGGGTCAATCAGGAGAATGTTTTCTGAGACCTACCTGCATCTTGAACACTAAGGAACACAACCGACAGGTGAAGCAATGAAGAAATCTACAATAGGATAAGATTAGAAAACTATAATGAGCTTTTAATGCCTCACAGATTCATTTCAATTCATTATCTAAAGATAGAAAGTATGACACAAAACCTACCAATGTAGACGTTTGTTCAAAGCAAGGAGAACATAGACTACTACATATGGATTGGTAAAAACTAAACAATCTTAAAAACTCTGAGGTAAAACATGGTGATAGTGTCGTTTCAGTACCATTAAATATACCCCCAAAGGATATCAAACAGTTTGTATCTGATCGCTGTAGCAAAGGCAGTTTCACGTTCCAGCAGGACAACAACCGTGAGAAGACATGCATGTGTTAGAATGGCCTAGTCAAAGTTCAGACCTTAGTCCAACTAATAATCTTTGACAACACTTGAAAATTGATTTTCATGGATCCTTTCTTTCCTTTTGGACTAAGCAGGAATTAGTTTGCAAAGAAAAATAAGCAAGAATTTTTATATCTAGTGGAAAAACAAATAGAGACGAACCCTAAAAGCAAAAAATGAGATGGATGCCATTCTAGGACACTTGATATTTCTAAAGGTTAGAAAGTTTTTCTTCATTAAGGTGATTCCAAACTTCTGTACAATAATGTATTCAGGCTCATAAAAACGCCTTTTCACTGTTACATTTTTATTCATTCATTTTATTTATTTTTTGTTTTAATATAGGTTTTTGCAATCTGTTGAACCTATGCTTTTCCATTTCTCAACCGGCAGAAAAACTGTTCAGTTGTTTCTTTTCCTTTCACAAGTATTTTTAGCCTCTTAGCTAAAATAGTTGAATGTAATTTCTGCTGGATCTGTGGGTTTCCCCTCATCCCCAGTCGTCATGCTCTTTGGGGACAAATAATTATGTGAAAATACGGAAATCTCCATCCTGCCAAGGCTGCAAAACTGAACCGTCAAAGTAGATGATGCCAGAATAAAAACAAAGTGTGTAATATACGGATAAATCCCCGTATAATGTGACGTGGAGAAAAGCCTTGTTGTAGAACACAACAGGCTGATTAATTCACTTCCCAGTGTGTTCTGGGATTTTATTTTCATGGTATAATTTGTCCTGGAGACCCTCTCACAGCTAATGTAACTTCTGATTGGTACTGGTGTTAAGTGTTGAGACTAATGAGCATTATAGTTTTCAATTGGAAACCCTTTGTGCTGCTGTGTTGCCCCTGCTTGTGCAGATCACTACGATGAATACCCATCATACTTTATATTACTTTAGCGCATTGTCACTAAATGAAGGCCGTGGGTCAATTTTCAATTTTTCTCCCCCTCTCCACTTGAAACAAGACCAAACCTTGGAACCCTTCACATCTCTAATTCAAACTGATTGAATCCACTCATGGCCATGAGGGGCCTCATCTCACTTTAGTTCTGCTTTTTCTGCAGAGTGAACATTTTGCATCGCACTGTACGAGCCTAGCACTCCGACCTGCTAATGGAAGGTGGGATTATTGTTTAATGGATGCATACGTTTTGATTTATTATTTCCGCTGGAGTCCAACATATTTATGCGAAAAAGATTTAAATCAACATCCCTGATGTGCACATATGTGGTTAAAGGCAGTCAGCTTATGTGGAGGTGGTTTGCATGGAGGAAAAACTCCAGCAGCTTTTCCATAATATCTCACGTTCCAACCGCAGACTGAAACATAAAAGGGCCTAGTTAAAGTCCAGGTTTAAATCTGATAAGAATTATCTATGGTGAAAACTTTGACTATGACGAGCCTGCACAGTATCAGAAAGATGTCTTGACACTATTGCCAAAACCTTTGCTGACAAAAGCGATAATGACTTATGACTCATTTTTTCTAGATTTCAATTTTCCTTGGAATCTCACCTTTGTCCTCAACACGGAAGCTGAAACATCTCAAACACTAAGAATATTCCTCAGGGTTGCATTGAAGCAGAGTCTGTGCAGCTCGCTAAATATATTTTTAAAATGCAAAACTTGAATGCATGGCACTTAATGTAGTAGTGCGACAAGTATTACCTCACAGCATATCTTTGCTTATAGGGTTTTAAACCAGCTGTTTTCATTATGCTGCTCAAAAATTCAGACTTTCCGTTTCACAAATAATGCATCCTACACTTTAAAGATCTTTACTTGTAAAATAAAAAGCTGAATGATTGTGCACTACATTAAAAATCCCGATAAAATGAATGAACATTGATAATTGGATGATCAAAGATTAAAGGGGGAATTCTGAGGCAAAAAAAGTTTCCTCCAGTTGGAACGTCTTCCAACCATCCACGCAGAGTTTAATAATTTGTGTATTCTCCAGCATGATAAAGCGTTTCATACAAAGAGCTATAACCAAGGAGCCTGAAATGCATTACCCAGATCTAACTTCTATTTAGACCATGCTGGTAGTTCTCTATCATAAGCCAGAAAATTATGATCAAACTCAAATGAGGAAGAATAAAGGAAGAAATAGTCATCAGCAGCTATGATTCAGGAGTTGATATCCAACGTAACAGAGTGAGTCAGGGTAAAGGTGGGGGTGGATTTACGACAGAAACATCCTCTGTTTCCCTTTTTCCATGTTTTACATTTCGTATGTCAAAATAAAAGCTCATGAAATCACATCAGTGATGGGTTTTCCATATTGTGGAAGTTTAATTATTCTAATGATTACCTGCATTAGGAATGAAGCAGGCGGAGAGGCCTGATGCTACGTCTTCCTGTGTAACGACAACAGCAGTATTGAGCCCGACTTGAAGATTTGGTTTCGCCTGTTGGCATTTATGCTTCTGTTACTTAGTGGCGCCTCCTCATCTCTGCACTGAGGGAGACAGTGAAGCAGGTTTGGACCAGAGCCCGGCTGCACTGAAGGACCTGCTGAACATGATACCTGTGTGGAGGAGTTCCTTCGTCCTAGCCTCCGGGTTCCCAGGAGAGAGTCCCCCCCCAACCACCACCACCTCCTCCCACCATAACTGTGTATCCATTTCTTTTGTCCTCCCCAGATACCCCCGGGCTACTGAACCTGCCCATCACAGTCGGTGAACCTGGAAGGTTCCTTTTCTTCACTAAATGAGTCCTCTTTAAGATAATGTTTGATGCGCTGACAGTCGAGACCAAAACAGTGTAAGAGAAACCAGGTTTGACATCTTTTAATTGTGTGTCAGAAAGCACAGATTGTGGTTTCTTAAGGCTGCTTTCAGATCCTGATGCTGATATGGTAATTTGCTCCTGTGAGGGATGCAGTGAAAGTGCCGCTGCTGATAGTTTGAAGGCAGGAGCCCCTAGAGTCTTGTTGGACGGTCCTTCTCACAACAAACATGACATGACTAATGAAACTGCGCAGATTTAAACTGCATCTGTTTCAGATAATCAGGTCTGCAAAAATCTTTACTCCTCTGAAAAAGCAGTCCACCCCACAAGAACCACTTTCATGCAACCTTTAGATGCATCCCTTCTTAAAAATCTATATCACATGATTATCTTGTTACCAGACCTCTGCAGAGCTGGATGACATCCTGACTGGGTACATGTGTATAGTACATGTGTTGGGGCAGGGATGCAAGAAAGAAGCTGTTGTTGATTGATGTATGCATTTGTACATAGCGAG